AGCACCCTCTGCACCTCTTTTCTCGTTCTCCAGTGCTCCCCCCCCCCTCTCCGGCATTGACTGCAGCAGAAAAGCCAGCATAAGATACCAGCATGTGTGTGTTTGCGCGTTGCTATGGTAAACTGACAACACATGAAACTAATTTGTGAGTGTATGTGCGGCATTCTCTAGAATGAAGACATTGATTGGTTTGATTCCTCCCCCTTAAATCATTGGACCTGCAATGTCCCTCCTCGCATCTCCCTCTGCTTGTCATCTACCACTCGGAACATCTCCGGCATCTCCTCGTGTCGTTTGTATCTCGCAGAGGGTTCGGGGGGTCAATTTAAACCCCAAAAACCAATGTGAGAGAACTGGATCACATGGCCGTTTGAGGCCGACGGCTCGGTGCCGGGACCAAACACAGAAATGCATCTCGGCCACAATACCTGCCGCCGCACTCTGCAGAATCACCCACACGCACGCAACTTCAAGAGGGAATCGCCAGTATTGCACTCGCCACGTGGAACCGCGACCCGAGCCCGCCGTCCGAAACACAACTTGGAATTCTGCCGCCGGCGTCTCCGGCTTTCGTTAATGCTTTGAGCTCTTCCGAAGCAACGGGCTGCGACATTTCACGAGAGCGGAGGACGACCGTTGAGACAATGAAGCCGCACGAGCCGCCAATCGCAGCCGGCATCCCAACTGGCCTCGGAGGCTTGAGGTGAGACCGCCGCCACCCTAAGCGGGACGGAATCCGCGTGAGGAGACGTCACGCTTGGATTTGGGTGAGCAAATTCCCACGGCGGCTATCGAGGATGCAGCGGCGAAGCGCTAAACTCTACCGCAGCAGATCACCACACGCGCGATGCGCCTTCTGTTCTTCTTCTTCCCAACTAAAAACGACATACGGTGGCGGAGGACGCGGTGGCGGAGCCCGCGCGTAACAAAACGTCATGTGGCGTTCAAACGGACGACGCGGAGGCTGTCAAAAAACTCAAACAAAACAAAAACCATACGAACGAGCCACCCGCCTGAATGAGCGGGTATCGCGGACACTCCAAGCGGGAGTCGGGTCTAGCGACGGCGACTGTGCGCAAATTGCTCGGGTTAGTTTTGTTCTGTTGGGAAAGTTGCGAGGGTCAACTCACCCGGGCGTATTTGGACGAGTAGGGGTCCTCGAAGAGCGCCCAGATCTTGGGCTGCCAGGTCTTCCACCAGCCCGCCCTCCTGGCGTCCTCCTGCAGGCAGAGTCTCTTCAGGTCGCCGTCGGCGCCGCCCAGGGCCGGGTCGTCGTCGGGCGCGTCGGGCTCGGGCGTCTCGAAGCTGTCCAGCGCCTCCTCGGCGTCCCGGTGCTGGCGGTAGTTCATCCAGCAGCAGGCCTCCACGTCCGTCTCGTCGATGCCCCAGAAGGCCAGCTCCTCCTCGAACAGGGGCCCGCACACGTCGTTGGGGCAGTGCAGCTTGCCCGTGCGGTAGTAGTTGAGGATGAACGAGAAGACGGACGGGTGGCGGTCGAAGAAGAACTCGTCCAATTTGGGGTCGTAGTCAAAGTTGCTGAAGGCGTCCGGCTCGGTGAGCCACGACAGCCGCGTGCCGGGCAAGGTCTTCAGCGTGCTCCGGTACGTCTCATGGCGCACCCCGCCGCAGTTGATGACGATTTTCTCGCTTTCCGACGGGCAAGTCATGTCGGCGCTGTAACATGCTTTGTTGGACGACTTGTTCCCACCCTTGCGCCCTTTGAAAGACGAGACGCACACCGAACTGAGCATAGAGGACCGGAGGGGGGCGGAGGAGGAGGAGGGCGGGAGAAGATGAGAGCGACCGGAGGGAGGTGGAGGAGGAGTCTGCGGGAAAGAGAGAGGAGGGGGAACGGAGGCGGGGGGGGGAGGGGGGGCAGAAAAGGGAAACGCTTTAGCGCAACGTGCGGGATTCTCCACCGTGTCAACGAGCACGTCAAAAATGGAAAAAAGGTTACCGAATAACCTTGGGATGCGCACTGGCTGATTTAAAAAAAAAAAAAAAAAATCATTCTTTGAAAATGCCCACCAATTTAAAAAAAAAAAAAAAAAAAAAAACCCAAACAAGCACAAAGCTCTACAAAACTGAAAACTCAGCATACAAGAGCACTTTTCATCAGTCAAAGACGCCTGCTGGCTATCAAAAGCCGTCGACACCCCCTGGCCACATTTTTGCACAATGCCAAATCATTTTCCTACCAACAATGTGACTTATATTGAAAACATCCATCCATTTTCCGATCCGCTTTATCCTCACAAGGGCCACAGGGGGAGCAGTAGGTGGGGACACCCTGAACCGCTTGCCAGCCAATCGCAGGGCACACCGAGCCGAACAACCATCCGCGCTTACACTCACACCTAGGAACAATTTCGAGTGTTCCATGAACCTGCCATGCATGTTTTTGGAATGGGGGAAGAAACCGGAGTACCTGGACAAAACCCACGCGGGCACGGGGAGAACATGCAAACTCCACACAGGGAGGCCGGAGCCCGAATCTGCTGCACTGTGAGGTCGACAAAATTTAGTGAAAACAACACAGCAAAAACATTTCAGAGAAAGTCTGCTTGCACAAGTGCGCACACCCTAAATCAGAATCAAGCTCGTGTTCAAAAGATCAATAAAAGAAAAGATTGACACTTTGAAGTCAATTGCACCATGCGGTGCTCGCTGCACACTCCTGCTTCAGCATGATTTTGAATGGAATGAGAGGGTGTGCACACTTGCGCAACCACATTATGGTGAATTCATGCATGCATTTGAATCGCCAACTTTCGGGGCGTAATACAACAAATATCGCACAAATCTTGATCGTGTGCAGTCGTTCTTCGGTGGGTCAAGAAGGCCCCCCGGCCTGGACAAGCATATAGCCCGCCCCCTTCGCTATACTTGCCCCCTCGTTGTTTGATGATGAGAAGGCACTTGATTGTCCGACACCATTATGCTCCCCCCCCCCCTCCTCCTCCACACACTCATGGCGCAATCTCTAAATTGATCCGACTGATGCTCGAGTCGGTGCTCCTTCAAATCCGGGCCCTAATTAGGCCACTGTGCACCGTGCAAATACGGACACACTCGTGTGAGTGAGCGAGTGAGAGAAAAGAGCGCAAAACTGGCGAGGAAAGGGACGCGCACACGCACACACACACACACACACACACACACACACACACACACACACACACCTTTGGCTCCGGATCCCGAACCCATCTGTGACGTCAGGTGCCGCAGCACCACGCACGCATGTGGATGTGCGTGAGCGTTAATTGGCTCCCAGGAGTGTGGCGTGTCCGTGCTTATGTTACACACACACTTTCGATTCATGCCATGCACAATTAGGTCACTTTCTGTCACGCGGTGGTGTGTTACCAACAAGATGCGCTTCCAATAAAGTAAAAAAATAATCAGACTAATTCCACTTGGATACAGTCTGGACAGACGGCAAAAGAAGAAGGGGGAAGGGGAGCAAAAGGGAGACGGTGAATGCACCATCGTGGGTCTTCAGTAATGGAGGGAAGACGTGGAAGGAGAGCGCGCCATAAAAGTCAATGAATCGGGGGCAGGCAGAGTGAGGTGAAAGCTTTCAGCCGCGAGAGCCCTTCACAGAGCACATGCGTGTGTGTATCCGCGTTAAGCGCCACGATAGTCAAAGTTAAAAAAAAAAAAAGAAAAGAACCCCCCCCACCCCAACCCCCTTTGAACGCCCCCGCCACCCCTGCTTCCTTTCTCTCTCTCTGTCTCTCCTGCACTTCCCATTCCACGCTCGCTCTCCGCATCAAGGAAATCACCTTGAAGGAGTGACAGTCGAGACTTTGGTAAAAAGAGTCTCAAGTTTCCAACGAGCTAAGTCAGGAAGTCCGCTGCGCGCTTTTGCCCAACTTGGCGTCGCGGCGGAGGGAGGGCTGGCGTTCAGCACCGCGGAGAGTTCCTCTCCGGCTTCAGTTGGGAGTCGAATCGAGGGCAGACTTGAAGGCTTTTGGTTGATTTTTTTTTTTTTTCGCTGGCAATTTGGGCTGCGAACGAGTTTGCCCTAAGCGAGCCGCTGCACTTGAATGCCGAGGAGGGAGGACAGGTGTGAGCTGCAGGAAGCGCACAAAAGGGAGGCGGAGCGGCTCTTCGACGCATTGCAAACTGGCGCAAACCGGGGGTGCTTTTTTTTCTCTCTCCCCTTCTCTTTAGCTCGCCCTCTCTCCTTCTCCTGCAGCATTTCCTGACTTGGCCACCGTGTACTGCGCCACCCCC